CGGGCCGCCAAACCTCACCTCCTGGCGGCGGCCCTGCGTCCCCCGCCACCGTCCCGGCCTCACCCCGGCCCCCGCCCCGCCTCACTCCACACCCGCACTCGCTGCCGGCCGCTACTCCGCAGCCCTCTCCGAGCCCGGTGCTGTCCCTCGGCTCTCCGGGAGCAGCCCCAGCCCCCGCCCCCGCAGCCCCGCGGCCGCCGCCCCGCCGCTCCCCGCCGCCCCCGGTGCCGCTGCGGCCGCCGCGAGCGGCACTCACACGCCTCATCGCCGCCGCTCTCCGCGTCGCCGTCCGAGAAGGACTCGGCCCCGTCGGCGTAGCCCGCCAAGCCCACGATCTCCTCCTCCTCTTCCTCCTCCTCGTCCCCCTCTTCCTCCTCCGGCAGCTTCCTCGGCACCTGGCTCATGCCGGCCGCGCTCTTTACGGGGCTCCGCGGCCCCTCTGCCTGCGGCAGGCTCGGGGCGCGGGGGGCGCAGGTCCCGCGCTGGCGCCGCGCCCGCCGCCGCTCCCCTCCTTCCCCCCGCACGGCGCTGGCGGAGCGCGGCGCAGCTGCCGGCGGGGCGGGCGGGGAGGCGGCGTGACCCGCGTCACCTGACGCGCCCGGTCACGGGCCGCCAGGGCCTCCGCGCTCGCCCGGGCCCGCTCCCAAGCCCGGCCGTGCCGCTGGCACCCCGGCGCCGGCGGGCATAGCCGGGCGCTGTGGGCTCACCGGCGGGTCCGAGCGCCACCGCGCTCGCCCCGGCCCTGCTGTCCCGAGAGACGCCCGTGGGAGCGGTGCACACGCGAGGCGCTGCCTCTGGCGTGCGGGGCGCCGCGGTGGGCGAGCGGGATGGCCAGGTGTGCCCGGCAGCAGCAGCACCGAGATGGCACCTGGCGTTTCTATTACAAGCATCCCTGCTCAGAATCCTTACAGTCACAGAATCAAATAGGTTGGAAAAGACCTTTGGTATCATCGAGTCCAACCTATGACTGAACATCATGTCAACTACACCGTGGCACTAAGTGCCACGTCCAGTCTTTCCTTAAACACCTGCCGTGACTCCACCACCTCCCTGGACAGCCCATTCTGAATCTAATCGTCCTCTCTGTGAAGAATTTCTGCCTAATGTAGAACCTAAATTTCCCCTGAGGCTGATGAAGTCTACGTGCTCTCCTCCTGTCGCTGGTTGCCAGGGAGAAGAGTCCGGCCCCTATCTGGCTACAACTCCTTTCAGTCAGTTTGAGGAGAGTGGTAAGGTTTCCCCCGAGCCTCCTCTTCTTGATCATGTCCTGCAACCTCATCCTGCACAAACCCCAGAGACAGATGTGGGACTGTCCTGCATCATCTATATACACTTCCAGCCTGTGGGAGACTCTAGGACATGGGCAGGACCAGTGTGTGCTTGGTGCTGCTCAGCTCACCCATCTGCCAAGTGTTGCCTGCTGCCCTGCCCCATGCTCCTTCCATGCCGACTGTCATCACATGGGCAAGCCCAGAATGTTAAGCTAGGCATTGATGGTGGGAGGTAACGTATTTGCAGTATGGGTTAGATTATTTTAGAAATAATTCACCTGATTAATAAGGAACACTAAGAGACATAGTAGTGAAATCTCTGAAGAGGTTGAGATTTTGATGCCCCTGACAGACCAAGGTGCCCTCATCTCCCTGCCATTGCTTCCTCCAGGTCTGCTCTGCAAGGACAGACCTTCTGCCTCTCACGCAGGCTCCTTCTCAGGAGTTTCCAGTGCTGCTCTTCTTATCTTGTACCAGTCTAAGCTAGAGAGTGTGTGTATTAGTCCCTGGCTGTCATCCCATCCTGCCCACTGTGGTGACTGGCAGCTGAATTCCTGATTCTCCAGCACCAAATTTTCCTCTGTTTCTGTTTCTTCTTTTCGGCTTCTTCCTATCCTGTTCTCCCTCCTTGCATTCAGTATATTGATTAGACTTCTGTTTGGAGTCTCCACTTTTTTCCTGCAGCTGATTATTTTTCTGACCTCTGTGCTGCATAACAATCTTCTTATTGCCAGGCCTTCCAGGCTGCACTAACCCACTGGAGATAAAGGAGGTACACATCTGTTCAGAGGTGGGAGAAATCCCCCTTGCCTATTAATATACAAATTTATTGAAAGGCCTGCCTTTATTCTCAACTTATCAACCTGCTTGGAAGTTTTGCTTGAACAGATTAACAATGTACTAGAAGATTATGGGAAACCTTTCGAGGTTAAATCCTGTAAAAGGAATTAGGACTTAGGTTTGGAGCAGGATTTTTTTTACCACTCGTGTTTTCAGCATTGTGTCTTGGGACAGCCCTGACAGGCATTAGCCTGCTGAAAACTGATGGAAAGAGGAAGAAAGTTTCCAGGTGTGTAATGAAGGACCATCTGTCTCACACACCAGCTGATCACTTCTGTGCACAAAGGGCTGTTAGGTTTCAAGGCCAGCTTTGGATAGGGGGTCTTGCCCAGAAATGTCTGTATTATATTTCTTCTATACAGAGTTATGAAACATGACCAGTGAGAGAGTGAATAATTTGGATATATTAAAATACAGAATCAGGGCGTAGAAACTCAAAAAAGAGGACTGGTTGCAATGCAGCTCTTCCCACAGCCTTCTCACAACTGACATCAGTGACCTGATCACAGCTTCAGGTTCAAAGCCACATAGACTCCAGGTCCATTGCCAGACAGGTTTTTAGAGTAGGGCTGAAGCATTTCTGCCAATTCCTTGGCAATATAATCTGTTGTGGACTCTACACAAGCCTCAGGACTTGCTCCTCCTCTGTCCCTTTGCTACCAGATTGTTTTCAGTTCCCTCTGCCTTTTTCTTCTTTTCCTTTTGTCAGGTCACTTGACTTTGAAGCTGGGTGCACATAATGAAACAGTGCCCAGCCTTCAGTCACAGGACTTGCAGTAAGGGCAGAGGTAAATATGACGTTGTGTCTTTGCATATATGACATGTACAGTGATAGATGTGACTGGACTTTGTCCATGGAGACCTGCAGTTCACAGACATTATATCCTTTCTGTGTGATTCATTTCTCTCCTCGCTAGGGAAAAAAAATCCAGAAGAATACAAAACCAATTGTCTGCATTAGAAAAAGGTTAATTTTACTTAAGCACAGGGAATTGTCCCACTGACATCCACATAATCAGGGAGCCTATCTGCACCTAGGTTTGTAGGATCACGATAGGGTCTCATCCTGTTCCTGCTAAAGACTGAAAATTTCCATGAAATTTCACTATATCACATTGGTGACAGACCTGTGCCAAGAAAGCTTTTTTCGACAATGTGCTAGCATCTTGTTTCTCAGTCGTAATGATCAAACATAAAATAGTTCTGCCAGCTTTTACATATATGGAACTTATTTAACATACATGTTAACTGTTACTCACAGAAATACTTCTATTCCTACGTTAGAATTTTGCACAGTATCAAATTAAATAAAATTCACATGAAGTAAGCCTATCCTAAATATGGAAATGAGCAAACAAAATCGTGTGAGGAATCACAGTGTGCTTTTATGTGTTTTAGCAACCACATTTTAACTTAAATAATGCCACCAGGCTTCAGATTAATGCTGTAATTTTGACAAAGCCTTGCTGAGATCAGGGAGGCATCAGAATAAATCCAGTCAGTCAGTGAGTCAGTCTTTCCTGGGGAGCACCAAGGATTTTGATGTGAACCTCTAGTATGACTATTGGCACAGAATGATGACTACCATAGTAATTGTTTAGTGGAAAAGGCATAAGTAGAATAATCTGAAAAACATTCAAAAGAATATATTCATGACATAACTAGGAAGTGCCTGTGATACTTCAGTGTTTAGTTTGTTTAGGGCATCAGTTCATTTAGGGCATTTTGAGAATGCCTTCAAGCTAGAGAAACAGCCTTTGAAAGCGATGTGCCTGTGAGATCAAGCATTGTATGGGGAACAGCTGCTCGTCTTCTGTTTTCTCCTTCTTCTCCCAATCTCACTTTTATCATTGTACTCAGCCTACTCATACAAACTCCTTTTTGCTCTGCCGGTGTCTACAGATGGTCCTGTCCAACTTGCCTCCCTACCAGTTTGTGAATTACTGACATTCACCTATAATTGCCCACACAAACACATGACTTGGGTGAGCAGAAGGTCCCAGTGATACTGTGATAGCTGGAGGGGTGGGTGTGGCATTAAGCAGGCACAGTCACCTTTCAAGGTGTTCCTCTCTGTCCTTTAGTTCAGACTTCAAAGCCTGCTGACTGGCTCCCTGAAAGGAAAAGGGCATCTGGACTCCCTGAAATTGGGGAAATTTTATTGTGTCCAATTCTGGGCTCCTTGATACAAGAGGGACATGTAGCTGCTGTGGGTCCAGTGGAGGGCAGCAAGGGTGATTGGAAGACTCATAAGACTTTCCTCTCTTATGAGGAAAGGCTGAGAGAGCTGAGCCTGGTTGCTGAAGATGTGGCTGAGGGGAGACCTCATTAATGTGTGTAAATATCCAAAGGGAGGTTACCAAGAATATGAAGACAGGCTCTTCTTGGTGGTCTCAACATGGATATGAGGCAACAGGCAGAAACTGATGCATGGGAAGTTCCACCTGAACATAAGGAAGAACTTATTTACTGTGTGGATGACCATGCACAGGAACAGATTTCCCAGAGAGATTGTGGAAGTTCTCTCACTCGAGAAACAAGAGCTGTGTGGACGCAGTCTTGTTCCACGTGCTTTAGGACGAACCTGGTTAAGCAGGGAGGCTGGACCAGGCGACCACTGTGGTCCCTTTCAACCTGACCCACTCTGATTCTGTGGTTTTGTAGCGCTTCTGCTCCCACGCAAATTATGATCAGCTTCCATAATGAAGCTACAAAGGAGCTTCGGTCCAGGAGAGCGTCCAGCCCGCGTGGAGCCTTGCTCCGGCCAGAGCCCCGTGTTCCTGGCCGGGGCCCGGGGCTCTGTCCCGCCGGCCGCGGGGCGGAGGCGGCCCGGGTCTGTGGGCGCTGCCCGCCCGCCCGCCGCGGCCGCTCGGTGTCGCCCTCGCAGCGGGCACGGCGAGGTGGCCGGGCTGTGGCGGGGCTGCAGCTGGGGACGACCGCGGCGAAGCCAGTGCCCCGGACCGGAGTCGTGAAAGTGTTCCCGTGTTCCAGCCCCGCCGGGCAGACACGGACCCTCCGGGATACCGCGCAGGTACAGGAGCCCGTGTCGACGTAGGGGTTCGATTGCAGGTTTGGGGGTGAAAATGAGGAGTCTTAACGCTCTTGTTCCAACTTTTAAGGCCGCGTCTGATGAGAAATGGAAATCTGGCTCACAGTCATCCTTCCTGTTGTTGACATCACCTGAAAACTCCGCTGGAAATATTTCCACTAGTTTGCTGCAAACATCGCGCCCCCTCCCCCGAGATCTCAACACCCTGTGAGTACACACTGGCTGCTGGTAGAGCTCTGATTGTGGAAATCCATGGCTACGGCATGTAATTGTTCTGCAGTGTTCTTTTTATTGCAAGCATTAATAAAGAGCTTATCGTGCCCTGGGGTGTTGTGTGTATTACGGCATAGGCTGTAGACAGTGCTCTGTTTTTTTAAAAAGACATGACCAATATCTTCATATTTTTATAATTATATGTGAAGCGATTACTTGGGTTTGTGCTTGGTACTTCTGCAATGCACATGACCAAAAGGACATGTTGTCTGCTACTGAATACATTTTGTTCACAGCGAAAACATGGGGAGAGTTATGGTAGGTGGATCAGTGAATCTTTGCCCCATGAGTTGTTTAAATGAACTTAGAATGTCCTACCAATGTTAAAGGAGTAATTGGGAAGATCAGTAAGTCCACCTCTGTCCAAATACAGAAAAATGTAAGCATCTTTTAACTCTTATGCAGCATTAGTTAGCCATGGATCAGATCCCCTGGTAGGACTGTTTGAGTCTATGGTTTATTCTGAGGAGAATGTTATTTACTTTCTTTCAAGGTGATGTGTCAGGCTGCACTGCTAGTTTTATAACGACTTATTTTGGCAGGCTCAAGTTTCAAGTATTGTGTAATCTTCATTCTCCAGATAGTTGGAAAACAAAGTGTTTCTGGAGATGTGTGATTGCATGTAAGATCTGCAGTTGCATTGCAGACCACAAGACATGGTGTAATGACTCTCCTTTGGAACTTCATAGCAATTTCTGAGCAGAAAATGCTCAAAAATAGTTAAACACACTGCATGTAGCAAAACCTGCAGTTGGATGGCTACATAAAGTATTTACATACCTGGTATGTAGATGAATGTAGATGATGAATGCCTGTTTTTCCATGAGGACCTATCTGCAAGGATAAATAGGAATTGTGTAGCAGTAGTAATGTCACTGCTTTTTCCCCTGTTTTTGTTTTTTTTGTGTGTGTGTTTGGTTTTTTGTTAAAATAAACTAATAAAATTTAAAAAGAGGTTTTGAGGTAGTATTCAGTTAGGAAGTTTTCACTTTTCCCTGCTCCTTAATATTTACCCAGAGAGTGCTACCAACCTCATAGAGGAGACTGGCTTTGAACACAAGAAATGAAGTAGCCAGTAAATGATTGGTAAAAATAAAGTGAAAACCTCTGATCATGCAGGTGCTTTCCTTCAAGATTTTTTCACAGAGGTATTTTCTTTTTTGAGGAACAGAAATTGTGAGAAGTTGTCTGCACTAATGGGCTCCCATGTTGGCTGATATGATGTAGTTGCAGCACCAGGCTTAGCATCTTGCCCTGTGGAGTTCGGATTATCAAACTTACCATGTTCTTGGACTAGGTGAGATGAATGATACCTGAGTAAATCAGGTGCTTGTAGGGTGTGGTGATGAGCAACTGAGCCTCAAGCTGCATTTCTCCATATGTCTTTAGCTTCACCTCTGTTTGACTTTGCCAGTGAGTCATTTTGTAATGGAAAAGAAAAAGACCTTACTGTCCCTTACTCACTAAATCTCTGTAACAGGATGAACAATGCTTATTGGTTTGGATAGGTGGTGTACCAAAGAACATTTTTAAAGCACTTTCAGGTTCTTAAATTAATTATACTGACAACTATATTTATTCTCATTAGTTTCAGATGTGTGCTTTCTCTTTTTCCCTCAACAGTTAGGACTTTGGATGAACTTGTAGAGAACTTACAGTTGTATCTTTTTTTAGAGGTATATCAGTACAACACATCCCTGTGGAAGTATTTTATTTAAAATCACAAATGAGGTGCCATATTTTATTGGCAAGATTGATCTATAGAGATATTTGTCAAAGACATAAATTGATTGTAATTGCTTTGGGCAAATAAAAATTTGAAATAAGTATTTTTAGTTACTTTTATTTACTCGGGAATTAATTATGTGACTTCCTTAAAAATGATCCAGCTAAAAATAGAAGGTGCAGAGCTGCACTTCAGAAAGACCTTAATTCATAACAGCAAGGGGCTAATTTTCTTTCCTGCCTCCTATCCAGCTATTTTGATCCCAAAAGTCTCCAGAATAGTACAATACTAGAAATATTGTTGCATACCATTGCTAACTTGTGAACCCTTTAGGAATAGCTTAGTTACTTCTCACTTGGCTACTCCACTCCCTGTTAGCAGGTGCTGCTGAAAAACAGTTTGTTACAGTTCATTGACAGCAGTTGTGAGAATAGTGAAATCCTGAAATACGCCATGTCTTGCTGTGACCTGTCAGTGAATTATGTGTACTGGTCTCTTTCTAAACTTTTTCCACTCCTTTTGTTTGTGTTTGGTTTATTTGATTTGTGAAGGCAGGTGTTCCAAATTTAGGAAGAGTCAGAATAAATGTGTGGAGTCCTTGCTTATTTGTTGTACAGCTTTCAAACACATGAATGCTGGGATGTTCCCTGTGCCTGGGATGTTCTTTGTGTATTGCTTCCTTTCGCAGGTTGTGCATGACACAGTGATGCTTTGTATTCAAAGTGCTGCTGGTTTGGCCAGACAGGTATTTTTCTTGTTTTCTGGAAAGTGCTGAGGTTGAGTTGGAGATGTGAAGGTGTTGAGAGTGAAGCAGGAAGGGTACTGTTGGTATGCAGTAGTTTGATACCAAAGTCAAGAATGCTATCAAAAAAAACCAACGATGAAATGAATGTCAATTTAGTTTACATTTTTAGAGGTGTGTGATAAATGAAGCATTAAGGCTGCACAGGACTTTGAGGCTAGAAACAATCTAGTTCATTACCACTAATAGCTAGTTGGGTATATCCTCTTGCCATAAATCAATCCCCATTGGATGTCCTAATGGATACAGTACAACAGCATTATCCAGATGTGGAGAGGTTGTCTTGGTAGCCTCAGTGATGCACTTCTGATGCAATATTGAATGCATAGGTAGCACATGATATATAATGCAGGACTGTAGGTTGCTGGCTTGCTCTCGCACTGTTTTACTTTTGATCCTTGGCAGTGATCCTGCCATGTGTGAGATGAAATGAAAGGTCATTGGAATGAACAGGAAGATGCTTTCTTGCAGCCAGCACTTGTGTCTTCCTGCTGTCTCCTCTGTGGATCTCTCCTTCCCAGTCTCCATATCCAGTGCTAGTCCTCCAAACCCTAGGTGCATCTCAGCCAAGCCACAGCCATGAGGGGGAATCTGGCTGTGATTAGGGATGGGATTTGGGCACATCTGTGGCAAGTGGTGGATGGAAGTATCTGGTGTGGAAGCCAGCCAGATGGAGCATACTGGGGCTACAGGGTAGCTGGGGTGTGATGTGATGAGCATAGGTATCCTAGTGGGACTGCCATAATCCTGAAGAAAAATTTATATACTCCTATGCCAAAAAAACCTAGGCTTTTTAATCTTATGTCATGATCAATAGCATTTTTGGAGTACTCTTCAAATCATTAAATCACACCTCCTTCAAATACTGGATTTAAACAAACTTCTTCCAACAGCCTGTCCCTTACACTTTCTCTCATGATTTGCCACCTTCCCCACCTGAGCACCATCCACTTTGTGAAGTGAACCACTGAAGATACAGGTTTTGTGTGCGTGTCTTGGCATGCTGTTGGACAAAAGCATTTTCATTTGCATTATGGAAAATGCATTTGGAATTGATGGAAATGAGTTCCTTAAGGGTGTACATCTTCATTGTGTCTGCATTGCAGTGGGATAATTTCCTTTTCCAGTTTGAGATGCCAATTGCTTTAAGCCAGTCAGGAATATTTTCTGTTGGTTTTAGCAGCATCTGCAATGTGACATCTTAGGAAGATCTGTTGCTAGGTCTGTTTATATTGTGCCAATATACTTCTGAGTTAAAGTGCCCTAAATTGTCTTGGTTGGGTCAATCACTGAGGAAAAGAGCCAGCCTTATAAAATAAGAAAGCACTGTGAATGTATGGTAATTACATGTGAGCTTAATAGTTTAGTAACTTTTTAACAGTGGTCACAGTGAATCATTTTAGGTATGATTTACTTCTGTTCAGAGTTTGATATCTGTCTGTGCAACAGATGCAGAAACTGGAGCTGGTTCAGAGTCTTGGGCAGGATGTGGTCTTTTCACTATATCATTACTGTTGCAGATAATTGCACTAATAACTGCCAGGCAGATCTGTTGCTTAACTCAGTTTTTTAGTATTTTGTAAAGCTTACATATGAGTAATTTTCCTTCATTTTCTGTCTGAGCACTTTTGGGATTTGACTATGTCTGGCTGAAGTCTTTCAAGAGGATTGTGGGACGGAGGGAAGGGGGGTGTCTTTCTTCTGGCTGCGGAATTATCTGCCTGACATCTATGATTTTTCATTGATGTTATTGTTCTAGTTTGAATCCAGATTTTAAAAGTGCAGCACTTTCTTATCAGTTTGCTTTTTCCAGACTTTGCAGCTGCTCCCGCATTCTTGCAAGTATGTGTTGTTCTTTTTTCACAGCTTCTGTGTAAAATCCAGCCGTACTCTTTCCATGTGCTCTTTTTTATTATTATTTTTAAGTTTAATGGTGGGGTTTAATGTTTATTTTTAAGCTTATGGGGTAAGTATTGTTATGAATGGCAGACTCAGGTGTGGAGTGAGCTTAAACATGAATTTGAAGTATAGTATTTTATTAATGAACAGTCAGCTACCAAGTTGGATTCTCTTCTTTCCCTGTAATACTACACTTAATCAGTTTGGAGAAGCCAGGATTTAAGAAACTCTGACCTGGCATGCACAGGGTGAGGCTGTCATCCATTTCACTTTCCCTGGTGTCTTGACAGACAAGTGCTGCTGCAGTTGAGCAGCTTCATTACCAGCATGCCTCATAAAGCAGAACTGGATTTGGGGATGAATGAGGACAGCTCAGTAAAGAGAGGGTGTTGATGTTGACTGTCTTAGTTGCTGCTAGCCTCAAAATAAGCAGGATCAAATTTAATTTGTTTAAATTCTAATAATGTAAAGAATTTTCAAAAACTCACCAAGTGACATAGATGCTTT